GTAGAGACAGGGTTTCACCATGTTGGCCAGGCTAGTCTCCATCTCCTGACTTCAGGTGATCCACCTGCCTCGGCCCCCCAAAGTGCTGGGATTACAGGTGTGAGCCACTGCACCAGGACAGATTTTTTTTTGTTTGTTTTTAAGAGTAAGGGTCTTACTCTGTTGCCAAGGCTGGAATGTAGTGGCATGATCATGGCTCACTGCAGCCTCAGGAGCTCAAGCGATCCTCCCGTCTCAGCCTCCCGAATAGCTGGGACTACAGATGTGTACCACCACCAAGCCTGGCTTGTTTATTTTTATTTTTTTGTAGAGATGGAGTCTCGCTGTTGTTGCCCAGGCTGGTCTCAAACTCTTGGTTTCAAGCGGTTCACCTGCCTCAGCCTCCCACAGCACTGGGGTTACAGGTTGAACCACTGCATATGGCCTCATGACAGATTTATGAACATCAGCTATGTGCTAGGTTTCTGCCTTCACAGTGAAAGGAGATTGACAATAAATCAGTAATTTCTTTTTTTTTTTTTGAGACGGAGTTTCGCTCTTGTTACCCAGGCTGGAGTGCAATGGCGCGATCTCGGCTCACCGCAACCTCCGCCTCCCGGGTTCAGGCAATTCTCCTGCCTCAGCCTCCTGAGTCGCTGGGATCACAGGCACACGCCACCATGCCCAGCTAATTTTTTGTATTTTTAGTAGAGACGGGGTTTCACCATGTTGACCAGGATGGTCTCGATCTTTTTGACCTCGTGATCCACCCGCCTCGGCCTCCCACAGTGCTGGGATTACAGGCTTGAGCCACCGAGCCCAGCCTAGTAATTTCATTTTAGAAGATCTGGAATTATGACAAATTCTATGAGGAAAGAACACAAGGCGACGACCCAGCCTGGCCAACATGGTGAAACCCCATTTCTACTAAAAATACAAAAATTAGCCAAGCGTGGTGGTAGATGCCTGTAATTCCAGCTACTCAGGAGGCTGAGGCACAAGAATTGCTTGACCTAGGAGGTGGAGATTGCAGTGAGCCAAGATCGTGCCACTGCACTCCAGCCTAGTCAACTGAGTGAGACTCTCTTAAAAAAGCAAAAAAGGGCCGGGCACAGTGGCTCACCCCTATAATCCCAGCACTTTGGGAGGCTGGGGTGGGGGGGTGGATCACCTGAGGTCAGGCGTTTAAGACCTGGCCAACATGATAAAAACCCCATCTCTACTAAAAAATACAAAAATTTGCTGGGCATGGTGGCAGCGCCTGTAGTCCCAGCTACTTGGGAGGCTGAGGCAGGAGAATCGCTTGAACTTGGAAGGCGGAGGTTGCAGAAAACCGAAATTGTTCCACTGTACTCCAGTCAGGGCAACAGAGCAAGACTCCATCTCAAACAAACAAAAGACCAGCCTGGCCAACATGGTGAAAACCTGTCTACTAAAAATACAAAAATTAGCTGGGTGTGGTCACAGGTGCCTATAATCCCAGCTACTCAGGAGGCTGAGTCAGGGGAATCACTTGAACCAGGAGGCAGAGGTTCCAGTGAGCCGAGACTGCGACATTGCACTCCAGCCTGGGTGACAGTGAGACTCCATCTCAAAAAAACACCCAAAAGGCCGGGCGCGGTGGCTCAAGCCTGTAATCCCAGCACTTTGGGAGGCCGAGGCGGGTGGATCACGAGGTCAAGAGATCGAGAAACCCCGTCTCTACTAAAAAAAATACAA